GCTCTGTTCTGGGATGCACCCTGGACCCAGTGCAGGTGGTGGGAGACAGAAGGACTCTGGCCAAAATAACATCTGTGATGGACAGAGTCTCCCACCCCATGCATGTAGATGTTGCTGAACTGCAGAGCTCCTTCAGTGACAGACTGCTGCATCCTAGATGCATGAAGGAGCGTTTCCGCAGGTCCTTCCTCCCTGCAGCTGTCAGACTGTACAATCAGAACTGCTCCCAACAAACATAGATGTTTACATCTGCGCTGTAACTGCAATAAGTTAATTAACCGATTCGCACTACAACCTGGTTTGCCTCTTATCTGGTTATTTTTATTTAATTTAATAACTGTACAGTACTCTCTGTATATAGTAACCATAGTCCTTAATGTAAATATGTAAGAAAAATTGTGTGTTTTTCTGTTCTGTGTCATGTGTACTGTTTGTTTGTATATGTGTCTTTTTGGCTGCTGTTACAACCAAATTTCCCCTTGTGGGACAATTAAAGGATTATTCTATTCTATTTTTAAATTCTTTTTTAGATCTATGCAGTTCTTTCTGTAATCTGAATATAAGTGGTTGATGTCAGTTTCTGTTTAATATTAATTTCTGTGTATGTACATTTGGGTGATTCACTGCAGTAAATTGCTGTACTATCATAAACAGATTGAAAGTTATCGCTAACTTGCCCCCATTCAATCACAATCACAGTGATAGCAGACTGACTCCATGTTACTGCTGTTTTATCACCATCTTAATGCACCACAGTCAATCTGAAGACAGCAACTGACCCTGGTCCCCGTCTTCAAAGCAACCATTTCAAAGACAAAAAGGTTACAAGTTCACTGCACACGGCTACAAAAGTCATGCCACGGTCTCCAATCACTGCTACCCCAGGTGTGGCTGTAGCATAGGGTTTACATTGGAAATATAAGTGATGACCATATGGCAAAATTATCCTTCTCTACTTGTGGACAAATTAGCCTGGTTGCCTATGGTTACAAGGCCATCGGTAAAGACAGTTATTATGCTGCACTTTTTGTCTGTGTATTCGGGCAGGTATGATCACAGCTCTTATCCCTGAAAAAGCTCCCCGTGCCTTACAAAGAACAAATGAGTTTGAACAAAGATGAGTCAAAAAGCCCTCAGGCAGGAACAAAACAACACCATTAAAGTGGTAGAGCCTGTTATTATTACCGAACACCTCCTGTAGCTCTTGTTGAACTTTCTTGTGCACCTCAGGGTGCGAGCCGAGCAGGTGGAGAGCCCAATTCATAGCGGCGGCTGTAGTATCATGGCCCTGCAAATAAAGAGAGTTAATTAGAGACTTTTTTTAAAGACCCTTTATTGAAACAGGATATGTGGATTATTCTCCCAGAAGAGGCTCACATCATTATCTCAGAAAGTAAATCCTTTATTGGCACACAGTGCAGTTTTTTTTGGGTAATATAAATGTATTAATAAGCGCAGCCTTAAGTATTCCTTTTTATTGCTTAACCACCAACCCGAAACATAAAGGTGTCCACTTCCTCCTGGATGTCCTCATGGCTCATCTTGCTGCCGTCTTCATAGGTGGTGCTCAGGAGCATGTCCAGAAATGCCCGTCGTTTCCTCTTGCCTTGGTCGTTTTCGCTGTCTGACTCGTTGCAGGACGTGTTCTCAGCTCTTTCATGGATCACCTGAAAATAAATGGGAAGAGAAGAAGAGATGCTTCTTCTGAACAATTTCATGATTTCTGCATGATCGCGCAACGTGGAAAAGCGTCCGGCTCCGTTACTCACTTTGTATGTAAAGGAGTGGAGGACCTCGAGTGTTTTGTCGTGGTCGCGGCCTTCACTAAAGTAAGTGTAAATGAAGTCAGGCCATAACCAAGGTGACCGCTGTCTGCGACTGACAATGTCGCTCATTCTGAGAATAAAGAGAAAGACAGCAGATTAGATCTTTTTCTTCTACTATAATTTGCATTAGAATGATAAAAGCAGTAACTCACCTGTACACGCTCCTAACATACTCCGAATCAGAGTTACTCTGTGCATAAATTTTCTTTCCCATTGCAGTTTCTGTCAAGAAATTAAGGGTATATAAATATAAAACGCCCTTTTTCTAATTATTTATTTTGTATACCTGCATTTGTTAAGCACAACAAGGGTCAAAAGTTTATCCAACTCAAAGGGTCGACAAATGAAAGGAAAAACCTTTACAGTTCAAACCCTACAGTAAAGGGATCTGGTGTCTCCGTTATGTCGTTGCAGATTTTTCACTGGATTGGATTCACCTTCCACCTTATAGAGAAAAATTTATCTAGAGTTGTTCTGGGAGATCACCGCCATCATTTGACGACTGGACTCGTCTCTTCCAGAATGACATAATGCATGAGGGCTCAAAAAATGCGACCGAGACCCACTCATCATTTCAACCCAATTAGACTGCATGAGTGGATGAATGGTCTCACTGCTAATCCCTACCATTACCAATTCTAATGAGAGAATATGTTTTGGAAGGAGAAACCATGCCATGCTGCATCTGCTCCGTTCTGGATGCGTATCACCTTAACGCAGGGTTTTCCTTTAAGTTGTCCCAGACTTGCACATTCTGCTTACCGCAGATAATGTCGAGAGCACAGAGGGTGATGAGACTGAAGCAGTTGAATGGACCCTTCCCTGCATGGTTTTCCAACTTCTCCACCAGAATCTCGGCCTGCTCGTTCATCACTTCCAAGAAGTCCTCCAGGATGGAGAAGTGAAAGGTGGGCGTCAGCATCTTCCTCCGCTGACGCCACTTGGTCCCAGTGCTGATCAAAGATAAGAAGGCGTTATGCACTTTATATTATTTCATTTGCAATAATAATACTGTAGATAGGAGCTTCTTTTTGTTTTGTGCATAGTCTTAGCTCACGTTTTGATATATGAACTATCTAAATCTTTTGATCTTTCCTGATGGACAGATGGGATGTTTGCTATGCCACAGTTATACCTAGTAAGCAGACCAGTTCCCAGCCACGGATGCAGAAACTTGTATGCAAAAGCTTTCTCCATGTGAATGCTGTTAGCCAGAACCGGCTTAAAGAAAAAGTAGACAGAAACATGTCATGAGTAATATTTGAGGCAAAAAGTTGTTTGCTTAAAGAAATCTTTAGTGCACAATCGAGCATGCTATGTTCCAACAGTCCCTGTCGTCACAGGGGGAAAAAAAAGAATCCCCCAAAACGAACCCGCAAACAACCAACCTAAGCCAATAACCTAACCAAAAGGAAAAAGAAAAAAAAGTAAAAAGAAAAGTTAAGGGGGAAAAAATGGAAACCCCTTAAAGAAAAAGAAGAAATTGGGCCAAAAAGAAAGAACTGACTTCAGCTTAATGTTTGAGTGGTGGGTGGCAGGAATTTTGTATCCTGCACTGTATAAAAGTGCAAAGACATCCTAAGAATTCATCACAGACTGCTTAGCTGATCTCAAAGACTTCAATGGGATCTCATCCAATCCATCTGTAACGACAGTGCAGCTTCCACTTCAGTGACATGTGTGGTTTGTTTACCTGCTTCGCTGAACAGGGATGGAAATTGTCCATAGGCTTACTCATCACAGGCATATTTACAGTATAAGACATGCTGCACCCACTCTGTATTTTGGATAGGAGTCAGTCCGCTTACCTCAACCGTCTCAGCATGATACAGAACCACAAAGGGGACCGGCCCGACCCAGAGTTTAAACAGCGGCTTATCTCGGAACTCCCAGGTAAAATCCTGAATTTGACGAAAGAAGTCTTAAAGAGAAAAATAAAGATGTTGGGTACAAAAATCACGAGAAACTCAATGTGCTTCATCACTTTGAGTACTTTAAATGATCACGTTGCTTGCTTCCTTACCGCCCCCATTGTTTTTGAACTGCAGAGCATTCCCGATGAAGGGGTAAGTGGTTCCCAGCTCAGGGATCGGCTTCATCTCAAACCATTTGTGCAGGTAATCGCTCAGCAGCTTGTAGGTTAAGTAGGTAAGAATACCAACAAAGACGCTAACCCCGAGTAAAGTTGTGCTGTAACTGCCAATTAAAACTGCCATTTTTCGTGCCGTGTGTGTGCTCAGCCTGTGTGCGCTGAAATGTCGGTTCCAGGCTGTCCTTAAAAGCTCTGTGACATGTTTTTGCCCTGCCTTTTACTCCTCCTCGCCTCGACTGTCCTGTAGTGGGTAAAGGGGGCCCTGGTCTTACATTGCCATCTATTGCCCAGGAGGAGAGGAGGATGTGTGGGGGACTTCATAGAAAGTTTATTAAATTGACATTTATAGCATGGGATAACAGGTAAATGTACATTTTAAAATATGAAAAACGTGCTCTCTGCTGGCACGAATTACATAACCCGTGTTAATTATTTACTGCGTGATCAAGAACTTTGTCCGATTTATTATCTCCGTGTATTTATCCACATTAACAGTTCGTGTCCTACCTGCCTGGTTAATAAGTGACAGTCTTATCTGTGATTGCCTTATGGTGTTTTGTTTTTTTTTCTTTTTATGTCATCATAGCTCTTCAGCTTTGCACGCTATTACCTTTAGCAATGGAAGGAGTGAGCCTGTAATATCTCATTCCTGTTTGAGCCAGGATTTCTGCTGCCCAGGCCACACAGCTACTGTAAGCACCCACACTCCTTTACTAGAGAGCCCTGCTTTAAAATATGTGGTCTGACAGTCTCCTTAATGTTAATGCAAACTTAATAGATGAACAATGTATTCTTCCCATCAACATTAATAAGCACTCATATCTTCCCTGATGCTGGCTTTTGAACTGTGAGCTGATGGAAGGAAGGTCTCTGTTTTGACAAGGTGGTGCCCGAGGTTTCCAAAAAGGATTTTAAAATCACAGATTTTACGACAGGAGAGTTTTTAACTTTTCCTCAGTCGATTTAAACTGGAGATTTTGCTAATTTAGTAGTGGCTTTGACTCGTGCAGAGACTTCTCTGAATCTTTTAATAATATCATGTGTCTAAGTGATGAATTCGTGGATAAACCCTCCCAAGAAAGCCTGAACCTCTGTGGGAATGTGATTTGTTTTCAGTAATTTCCAGACATTGTAATCTACAAAGACTGTAAAAATGTCTTTCTGTGCTTTTTTAATAAAATCACTTTTAGAAACGAACATCCTTAAGACAATTTGTTCAGCCTTAAGAATGTTTTGAAAAGGTATTTGTTGGAAAATAAGCATGCCATTTAAATATTGACTGATAATAAGGTAAAAATAATAATAATTTTGGTAGTTTTTACGTAAAACATTTCCGCTGGTAAAAAAAAAAAAAAAAAAAAAAAAACTAGGTAAAGACAGTGCGCCTTAAAAACAATGCCTGAGTCGCTGGAAATATACCTTAAATTAGAACAACATCGTGGCTTGCTTTTGACTCCTTAGTACAAAATGTAATACTGAGCTTTAGCCACTAGATGTCAGATGTCAACTTCTTCTTTTTTGTTTGTTTTTTCCATATTACCCTCTGCATTGGCATACAATATAAAATAGGACTAGACTGGAAACAACAATAAAGGAGGATGTGACGAATGAGCAAGCAATAAATGTGTGAATCCCACGAGTTTCATATTATTAATAAAACGTTTAATATTTTTATTTAAAATATTTATGCGGTTTTATTGCATTTATTATGCAAAAATACAACTCTTGCAGTCAGT